AGGTGAGATTGCATAAGGTGGGGACAAAAGAGAAGATGAATTCCTTGCAAAGATAGGAGATGCTGAAACACCTTTATATCTAAATTGTTTAAACCATATCAAGCTATCAGCTATTGTGTCTCTCTTTAGGCTTAAGACTAAGAATGGATGGTCTGACAAAAGCTTTGATGAGCTGCTTGAAACATTGCCAAACATGTTGCATGCAAATTTTCACAAAACTAACCACGTCGCAAATGTTGTAACAAATAGAGATTATAATATTATTTAAAAATTTGCAAAATTATCTACTACATTTTTTTGTATCTATTAGCAATACATACTAATTAAATTATATTGTAACAAATTTGCTACAATATAGTGTCAAAGTTGTTGTTGCAACTTATCACAAAGCTAAACGCGTCGTAAATGTTGCTACAAATAAAAATTAGAAATATATATATGTCATCTTTTAGAAATTATTAATTTCATGTAATAATATATAAAATAAAAAGTATTATTATGGAGATATCATATACTTCTTGAGAACGTTATAAAAATTTAGAATCTTTAATAACTAGTCCATACAAAAGAAGCAAATTCATTAAAACAAATAGCAATACTTATAAGAAAAATCTATTCAAACAAAACAAAAACGAATACTAGTACAATTTGGTTTATAGAAATCTGAATTCGATTTTGTTATATATATATATATATATATATTTGTTTCATCTAATAAAATTCTTATTAATTTAATGCGCGTTAAAAAAATTTCTAGGCGGCGGTGAGGGTGGGCCTAACAACTAGCAAAAAAATCGGAGATTATACGGAAATTAATTGGGATTAGTTTTAAGACAATTTAATGTTTTAAAAACATATCAATCCATTATAATTAAGAAATTTATAGAATTTTATTTTATAAAAAATTGCATTAAACACATGAAATCAAGATTTTAATCACAAATTTATGATTTTTATACAAATTACGAACATAGGTTGGACGTTTGAATTTTGGATCCAGGAAAAAAAATGTAAAAACGGGGCTAGGCGCGGTCTAGGCGGCTATTAGGCGGTCTAGGCCGACAAAAAATCGGATCAGGGATTATTCGCACCGTTTTGGAAAAAATCGCTGCGGTCCCCCTCTGTTCAGCATCTAGGCGGCTAGACGGCCGATTTTTAGAATGTGGATCTCATGTGTTAATATATTAAAAATATACTACAAAAAATATGTTTGGTGACGTTGGTTTATTAACGTCAGTTTGTAAACCGACTCTAAATGTTTTGAAATGAAGGAATTTGGCGTGTGTTGGTAAACCGACTTGAAATTTCATTAAGTAAATAGAAATATTTTAATTCATTTACCCTCAAAAATTAGAATCATTTCTTCGACGAAAGAAAAAAGTAGAAGAAAGAATCGTTCTAATGTGTTCTATTGGCGAAACTTCATGAGCCTCTTCATCTAAGTTTTTCATCGCTCCAGAGCTTCCGTGTATTTGAAATCAATCTCTAATATGATTCAATTTCAAACGCGGAGAAATTCAGAAGAAGCTGAAAAAGTTTGATTAAAAATCAGTTTCAGTTTATCGAGTTTTTGTTGTGGGGGTGAGAATCGCTAGTCATTCTTGTACCAGGTATCAGATCTCTTTAGTACCAGGCTTTGTAATATCTAAATTCAGATATCTGAAACGATGCTTAGTAATTTAGGGTCTATATAAAATTGAACACGAGTTTCTAGAATTTGCATCTAAATCTCAATCCCTGTTGAGTCCGTGTTTAATCTCAAATTTTAGAGAAATTTAAGGTAAGATTCTATTGATTTTAAGTTTGTTTCGATCCATCTCTCTATTTTTGTGTCAATTCTAAAAAAAAATCCTCTAGTTGTGCGTCTCCATCTTAGCTCTAAGTTCTTATTTCACGAGAATTTGATGAAATTAATTGATTTTTTGGTGAGTCTTGTAAGTATAAATAAGAAGCTTTGAATCTTTGGAGATTTTTCTCTATTAATTTTTGTTGATTCTATAAACCACATTTGTTGTATATGTTTATGGTGTTCAATTTCAAATTAGAATGACAAGTATTGTGTTCTGATCTATGGCTATATAGAATAGTTTTAAAAAAAAATGAGTTTGTGGTTTCAAAACACATTCTAGTTGTAATTCGTGATTTATAAGTTAAACTCTTTATCACTTGAATGAAATTTTATATGTGAAAATATTGTATTGATAACTGATTTACTTATTTCTAGACTGATTTTTTGGATTCCCTTTATGACCTTACTATATTTCTTCTTGAGAAGAGAGAAACGAGAAGAGATGGCCAAAGTGTTTCACGAGTTTAACATAATCCATCTATTTCTCTTCTAATTCTTGTTTTCTCTACTTTTTATTTAGGGAAAGTTACTAGATTAACCCAAATTATGAGTTTAATTACTAGAATGTCTCAAAAAATTTGGGGGTTAAATGAGTTATTTTCATGACCATAATACCCTTTCTCTCTTTGTTAGGAATAAAAAAAGTCAAAATTACCCTTAAATATATTTAAAAAACGTGGAGAAAAAATATTTGAAAAAAAAATTATTTGAAAAATCTGCTGGGTTAGTTGTGACAGTTTTATTTTCTATGACAGACTTATTTTTCTATGACAGATTTTTTGCGAAAGATTGTTTTTCTCCACAGACATACTTACAATAGGTTACGACAGATATTTAATTTGTGGCAGATTTTTTTCTCACGACAGACTTATTTTATGATGACACCACAGACTTTCGAAATTTTGACAGATTTATTAAAATGTGTGGCAGATTTATTGTTTTAGTGGCGTCAGACTTATATTTTTCGATAAAAATCTGTCATAATGTAGCAGATCTGTTAATAAAAAAAAATTACTAGTTTGACTTATTAGTGATAACAGATTTTTTTTATATTATGACAGTTTTTTTTTCTTAACAAAAATCTGGAGTGTGATAGCAGATTTGTTATCTAAAAATATAAATTGCTAGAATGACATATACTCACAACCGAAATGTTTTATGTTGTGACAGATTTTTTTTATATTACGACAGATTTCAGATATGCTATAAAAAAATATGTCGTATGATGGCAGTTTTATTGATGAAAACAGAATTTTAATCAATAAGGTAATGACAGACATATTCTTATCGCGATAGACTTATTTATAATAGATGGCTCATGTGTGGCTGTCTCCTTGTTAATATATGATAAAGAAATTTTTTTTTTGTTTTTTTATATATTTTATTTCTTTTTAATTTATAAATTTTTTTGTATTTTTTTGTTTTATATTTTTTTGTTTTTTATTTTATTTTTTTTGTTCTGTATTTTTTTTTCATTTTATATTTTTTTGTCGTTTTGTATGTTTTTCTAATTATCTATTTAATTTAGTTATTATATGTTAATTATTTTATTTTAATTGAATTGAAATAAAATGGGTTTTGTTTTTTTTGTTTTTTATTTTTTTAATGTTTTTTCAATATATATATATATTTTTTTGTTTTGTATTTGTTTCTTTTTTTTTTTTCAATTTTCGTTTTTTTTTCGTTTCATAATTTTTTTTTGTATTTTAAAATTTTCTATTTAATTTAATTATTATATGTTAATTATTTTATTTTAATAGAATTGAAAATAAAATGGGTATTTGGTCTTTTAACACAAAAATTGTGTTATTCTAGTAAACCATAATATTTGGGTGTTAATCTAGTTATTTTTCTCTAGATTTGAGTCAAACTAGGTAATTTTCACTTTTATTTATTTCTTTATTTTGTTACTATTTAGAAACATTTTGGAGGCAATAAAATTTTTACTTTCCCGATTACTTCTACAATAGCGTTTTTATTTTCATCTATGCTATGATAGAACAAAAATTTAAGCGCCACGACGAATTATTTTTACGGTCCTCCAACCATAGCGTTTGCCTTTTCGCAAACTCTATAACTTTTTTCTTAAAACTCAACTATAGCAGAATCATCAAAAATGTTATTCTATACTGCCATTAATACCCTTATTTTCTGTAGTGTTGGTATTGAATTCTTTCGACATCGTTTTTTAAATGTATTTTATGCAACAGATTTTGGCAACAAACTTGTTACATCTTTGCTCAAAGAATAACCTTAATGCTCTATAATCTACTTGTTACAAGATATGCAATGGATGGGAACATGAAGCTAAAGACCATTAGTATCTCTTATAATCAGGTAATAACATTTAGTATCTCTTGTAATCAGGTAATGAAATTATTACCATTTCCTGCCTAATATTGATATATATGATAAGTTCTCATACTTTCTAAGATTATATTTGATTTCAAGTAATTTGTAAAACAAACACTACAATTTGAAGGATTTTAAGGTAGTATAGCCTTTAGGCATTGTTGTAAATTATAAGTATTACTGTTTTGTATAACCATATAATATTTATTAAGTAAATGTAAATGCATCACATTGTTGTAGATTATATGTGTTATTGTTTTGTATAACCATATAATATTTATTAAGTAAATGTAAATAAATCATTCTCTTTATAATATTTTAATTAATTACAACTAAATTTCTATTTATAATATAATATATATAAAAATACTTTGGATTAGCGTTACTTGAATAAAGTAGTTTTTTGTCAGCTTTTAACCAACGTTAAAGAAAAATAGAAGTGGCGTTAATATTTTGGACATTAACTTTAGCGTCGGTAATTAAAATGAAGCTACATTATTTTACGTCAGGCCTTGAGAAGTCGGTTATTAAACCGATGCAAAGTTATTAAAATCAGTCCATAACCAACGCAAACCCTGAAATTAAAAGACATCGACATCCTTTTATTTTGTAGTGATAGTAGAGATATCATATACTTGTTAAAAACGTTACAAAATTTTGGAATCTTTTGTCCATACAAAAATAAAGAAAATTCAATAAAGAAAATAACAATGTGAATACATATATTATCCTATTAATCGATTCTCAAAGTCAAGCAAAAAGAAAACGAAACTATATACATAAACAAGTAATCGTTTCTGCTCTCGAGTCAAGCAACTCTTAGGTGATCAAGTTCAAATTCTCTGGTTTTGCTCCGGCAGCCGGCGTCGGTTGTATTCTTTTTTTTACTACTTTTAATTCTTAGGTTTTGTTATTAATAGTTTCCCTATCTCTCTCAAACGAGAATTCTCCATGCAATTCTCGTAATTGGTTTCTCTTCCTTTGGAAGAGTGTTTGTCCGGCGATTGATCTACGATTCTTTTGGATTTGTTTTGTCAGTGTATGTCCGTTGAGTGCAATCTTTAGCGGTGGGTGGAAAGTATCATCTTCTAATAAGTTCGAATCCCTAAACCGCCTTGGACATCTTTTTATTTAACACTTCTTTGGCTTTCTTTTATTGCCTGCTCCAATTACCAACAAGCACGAATCATGATCTCCAACACCGATCGCAAGATATTATTTTTGATGTCGACCACACATTAAATTTTTTACAAACCATTCATTTGGTAGATCTGAATCTTTTATTTGTGTATCTTGCATTTTGGAGTGACTTTATTGTCGTACGACATAATCCCTTGCCAGCGTATTTTCAAGATTTCACTTCATTGGTCTTGTTCTTTGTCTGTTTTGGTTGGCTTCGGAAACATGTACTATGGCAACAACTATGGAAGAGCTGGCATTTCAGAACGAAAGAGGAAACCATAGTCAATAAGAAGAAACGATATCAAATGTTGATTTCAAAGAAAGTAAAGTCAAAGTCAAATCCCCATGTGAAGACTCGGATACGGAAATGTTGGTATCCAATAGTCATAGTTTCAGAACTTACGATGGAAGCATTAAGTTTCACCATGCAGTGTGGAATTTGGAGATCAAGCCAAGAGAAGATATCCACGCACACAATTCGCATCAGAGCGAGATCAAATATGAAGAAAGAAATTAATGGATCTAATAATCCGTTTGCTAGTAAGGCTTATCAGAGAAAAGCATCGTCAAATTCCTTTTGTATTGTGTAACTTTCTTACTATATAGCGCATAAATATACTTTATTTAATAATTTTTTTTTTGAAAGTTCTGTATTCTGACTTTGTAATGTTGATTGATATCAATGAATTTAGTAGAAAAAAAAAAGAATACATAGATTATCTTGGTAATTTAATTTTGAATTTATCACTATAAAATTTTAATTTTAGCTAATAATTATAGTATGTATAATTATGAGATAATAAGTATGTAAAAACCATCAAATTCATTTAAGGTTTTTTTTTTGTAAAATAATAATAATTTGTCGATAATTTGTTAAAAATGAGCTAAAAATTGTTAAAACACATAATAATTATGTTAATTAGAATTTTGTAGTAAAGAAAACATTCATTTTCTATAAGAATAGTGATTTTAAATTTATAAAATTAAAATATAAAAATATTTTATATAATTATTTATAGTAAAAGAAAATAGAAGTTAATAGTAATCGATAACAAAGATATGTGTTAATGATCAATAAGTGCAGATATTTGAAGGCTGCTGAATTTAAATGATTCTATAAAAAAATATTTTGTTTTAGTGCTTTGACAAGTGGAAGTGCTGAACAATTTTATGAACCCGCAGTTGAAGATAATGCTTAAGAATCCCCTAATCATGAGGTTGCAAGTGAATATAACAACCGTTTTAATATAGCAAGTGAACCTCTTTTCAATAATTGCGCGGAAAGCTTGTCAAAATTATTGTTGGCTGCTGATATGATGCACATTAAGACGACACACAATCAAACAGAAGCGTGTGTCGATGATGATGCGCACATGTTTCATAAGGTTCTACCAAACACTACATGAAAACAAAGCTCTTTTCGACGGATATTCCGATAACAGTCGGAAATTTTTGACGGTTTTCCGAAAATATATTTTCGGATTTCCGACGGATTTTTGAGCAAAATATATTCGTAATGACCCATCGGAAATCCGTCGAGATGCTAAGTTATTTTCCGACGGATTTTCGAGCACAATATTATAATCCGTCGGGATGCTAAGCTATTTTTCCGCGGATATTATGGTCAAAATATACCCGTTAATATTGATCAAAATAAGCGGATCTCCGTTGTATAGCCGTTCAAAAATTTTTAAATCCCTCGGTATCTGTCGGAAATCCTCTAGAACCCGTCAGATAGTTGCATATGCCATGAATTGTTTAAGACCTTCGGCATACTCTAACGTAAGTAACTCCGTCACAGGATCACGCATGGGCTGGTCCATCTATGAACGAAAATAATTAAACGGATTCGAAGAAGACACTTCTTGTTAAATTTCTTGTTTGGGCAATTTTGTGAATGAGGATAGAAGAATATATATAGATGAGAATTATCAACGTTTCAACCAACCGGTAACCATCGAATCAAAACATATGTATTGTCCATATTGTACATGTCGGAATTTCAGAATTATTCATGTATCTCAAGTTTGGATGCACGTATATGGGGAAGGGTTTATGCCGGGGTACAAAGTTTGGTTTATGCATGGAGAGAATGAGTTAATGGTGAATTATGGTAGTTGTAGAGAACATTATCCTGTTGATAGGTTAGAAGAACCAACTGCGGAAGTATATGCAAATGTAGGTACTGTTCAAATGGCGAATGATGCTTTTCGTGAAAATGTACACTCATTTGATGCAGATAGTGATAGAGTAGAGGAACCTAATTTAGAAGCACGAAATTTTTTTGATATGTTAGATGCAAGTAAGAATTCGTTATATAGAGGATGTAAAAAGGGTCATTCACCTTTATCTGCTTCAACCAAGTTGATGGGTATCAAGACGGATTATAATTTGTCCGAGGATTGTATGGATGCGATGACTGATTTTGTGAAAGATTTACTACCGAAAGATAATGTTGCACTAGGTACGTACTACAAAGTACAAAAATTGGTAGCTGGTCTTGGTTTACCGTATTAGGTGATAGATGTGTGCATTGACAATTGTATGTTGTTCTAGCGAGGAGGTTTAGATCTCTTGACATGTAAGTTTTGTCGCAAACCTCGGTATCGGGAAACCAGTGGGAGAGTCCCAATTCCGTATAAACGGATGTGGTATTTACCATTATCAGAGAGGTTGAAGAGGTTATATCAATCTAAGCGCATAGCAGGACCAATGAGATGGCATGCAGAGCACACAACAAATGGAGAAATTACGCATCCCTCAGATGCAGAAGCATGGAAACATTTTCAAACAATGCATCCTAGTTTTGTTAATGAGCAAAAGAACGTATACCTTGGATTATGTACAGACAGATTCAATCCAATTGGGAAGCATGGAAGGCAATACTCATTGTGGGCTGTTATCATGACACCTTACAACTTGCCGCCATCATTATGCATGAAACGAGAGTTTCTGTTTTTGACTATCCTCGTTCCTGGCCCGGATCATCCTAGAAAATCACTTGATGTGTTCCTACAGCCGTTTATATACGAGTTACAAATGTTATGGGAGCATGGTGTTAAAGTGTTTGATGTTTCATGCCAGCAGAATTTTGTCATGCTTGCGACACTTAGGTGGACTATAAGCGATTTCCCTGCATGTGGTATCCTATCTGGATGGAAAACGCATGGAAGGTTATCGTGTCCGTATTGTCAAGATAACACTGATGCGTTCCAATTGAAGCATGGACGAAAAACGTGTTGGTCTTATTGTCATAGAACATTTTTACCGAGTAACCATCCGTATCGTCGAAGCTTCACTTTGTTTACGAAAAATAAAAAAGTTTTTGAAGGGCCACCTCCTGAGTTAGATGGCACTTATTTGCTAACTCAATTATGAGATTTTGGTGCGGCTACGTCAGTTGAGGTTGGTGGTAATGGGCATGATCTTGTTGACGGTTATGGAGTGAATCACAATTGGCATAAGAAGAACATTTTCTGGGGATTGCCATATTGGAAGGATCTTTTGTTGAGATATAATCTAGATGTCATGCACATTAAGAAGAACATGCATGGCAACTTGATGAATACCGTCTTAAATGTGCAAGGAAGAAGAAAGATAATTTAAAGTCTAGATTAGACTTGCCAGACATTTGTTCCAGGAAGAAGCTTCATATTATGCCGAATGGAAAAGGACCAATTCCTGCGTTCCGGTTAGATGCATCTTCAAAGGAAAAATTCTTCGATTGGATAATGCATAGTGTTAAATTTCCAGACAGATATGCATCAAACTTTCGTAATTGTGTTGATCACAGAGAAGAGAAGTTTTCAAGGATGAAGAGTTATGATTGTCATCTTATTATGCAGCAACTTCTTCCATTTGCTTTTGTCGAGCTTCTTCCACCAAATGTTCATGGTGCAATTGTAGGTACATTTACATTAAATTATATATATTTATATAATTATAATTGTTATATAATCAATTAAATAATTAATATTGTAATTATTATATACTTTATATTTATAATTTTAATATTATATATTATTTTATTTATGAACTAATATACATGTATAGCCTCTTTCTTCAGGAACTTATGTGCGCGATCTCCTCTTCAACTTGGAGAAGATATTTCCACCGTCTTTCGATGACGTCATGGAACATTTACCATTCGAGCGTTATATGTTCCATTTGAAGAAAAATGTGAAAAACTTGGCACGAGTAGAGGGTTATATTATTGCCCAATGCATCAACGAAGAAACTTTCAACTTTTCAGAATAGTACTTTCCTTCACATGTCTAAACCAAGAGTCGCCGACCTGCACGACACGGCGATGGTGGTGAGAAACTATATTATCCAGTCGACGTTCCAAATATTCAACAAATTGGGCGACTTAGTGGAAAATTCAAGAAGCGTCGATTAACAAAGGAGGAGTATGATGACTTGCATATGTATGTGCTTACAAACTGCGAGGAAATTCTTAAATTCGAGAGGTATATAATATATATTAATAATAATCTAACGATTTGTATTAATTAATATATATATATATATCTTACATAATAGTTCAATAAATTTTATTAATTAGTATTTATTTCATTTTATAGGATTTACAAGGCTCAGGTACGGTTTGAGTATCCACATTTCACGGAGGATGAAGTTGAAACCCTTTAACAAAGCGAGTTTCCACGTTGGTTGAAGTTTTATGTAAGTTTTATCATGATATTAATTGATTCTTGAATTTTATGTTAAATATTTAGTTTGGATGGTAATTTTTTTTCCAGGTAACGACTGGATCTTCTAGAGGTCAATCATTTCCAGTTTGATTACAAGATTTGGTGAACATGCCAGTTTATATTACAAAGTCATATCCAATGTATTGCGCTCGGAGATATGCCAACTTCGAATTATGGTATATCGTCCCAATCCGGTAATCTTGTGTATTATGAAGTCTTGCATGAAATATTGGAAGTCCATTATCCGGGAATGATTGAGTTGAGGTTCGTTGCATTTTACTGGGATTGGTATGATCCAACTCGAGGCGTACGACAAGACGAATTTGGTGTAACATCTGTGCATTCGATACGAAAACTTCCGAAGTACGATCCATTCATACTTGCTTCACAAGAAGATCAAGTTTGCTACATTCGCTACCCTCGAGTTAAGAACAAGGATGATCATTGGATCACAGTGACGGCAATACATCCAAGAGGAAGGGTAGATGGGGTTTGTGATCACGATCCTTTGCAGCAAAATGGAGTTGGATACTTAGGTCCGGTTGAACTTTCACTTGAAGTCGATCTTGTTGTTGATTTCGACAGTGATGGAGATGATGAGGTGCATGAGGATTCTGAAGATGAGGTTGAGGAATTTGACGACTCAGATTCAATTCCTTCGGATTATTCTTTAGATTCAGATTCGGAGTAGAAGATGTTATATATTTATTTTTTTTGAAACTTTTATTCTCTTTTTCATCTGATGCAAAGAAGAATAGTCACAATCTCATCAGAGATTTGTCGAGACAAGCGATTACCTCGCAGATCACTACATTAAATGTTGGAATCAAGTCTTTGATTAATCCACAAAATTGATGAAAAGGAATCAAGAGAGTAAAGAAAGAAAGATGAAGAAGAGTTTCATGGTCAAGGAAGAATGTGAAGAAGGGGTGAGTGTCGTAGAAGAAGAAGAGTGAATAAGGCATTGGGCCATTAATCTAATTAAGCCCATATCATGTTTAATGGGTTTTGTTTGGTTTACATAAAACCATAGGTTAAAACCTAAGATGGTGATATATATATATATATATATATGTGTAAGGGTGGATAATGAAATGAAAAAGAGAGTTTAAGATAAAAGTGGCTAAACCTAAAAGTTGAACATTAAAAAACCTTATAAAGCTAATCTATCTTCTCTTTACCCAGAAACACATTTGGTTGCTGTTCTGTCTTGGTAAGTTAAGTGTTATCTTGATAGGGTTTTTTTTATTAGACGTGAGAAGTACAAAAACTTGAGCAACGAACTCAAAAACTAGTTTTCTATTTCATGCAATCTGGAAAAACTTATTCAACATGGACTTCATAACCAAATACTTATTAAGTAAGTTTGAAATACTGTTTATTCTTTATTTGGGTGAAACTCTCCATAATAATGTGGCATATAAATTTTAAGCATATCTATTATGCCTTTTTGAATTTCTTTATTTGGATCAAGCTCTTCATCTGCAAAAAATCTGTTTCCGTTTAAATCGAATATAGGTTGAACTTTTTTCTGTTTTTCCATTTTTGAACAAATCCATCTCCAGGGTGAAACTCTCTTCCATCTTCATAATAGAACGTTTTGTTTAGATCAAATCCATGATAACTTTTTTTCTTTGCTCTGTTTCTTGAACAACTTCTACTTCTTCCACCTTTTGAACATTTTCCATTTGAATGGTTTTTTGTTTCATTTTTTCTATAAACATGAAATTACCAAAAATCAATATCAATACAAAACATCAAACATACAATGTTTGTAACAGAAACAAATAGAAACCAGAAACAATAAAACAAACAAAAATATAGCAAAATCATCTTGTTCTAACTAAAAAAAACACATCTCGTCAAAACCACCTAAGCCAAGACATACATTCCATACCCCAAAATCTTACATAAACATATATTAAAAACATAAATATATAAAAACTTACATGTTTTTGGAATTTGTAGGGAGAGAAGTGAAAGGAATTGCAAAATAATTGAGAGAGTGGAAGTGAGAGAACAAACCCGAACCCGAACCCGAACCCGACCCGAACCCGAACCCGAACAAGTACCCGAACATACCCGAAATATAAATACATAGTAATAATATATTAATAATATTTATATTTGTAATATTATAAGTGTCTACAATATTGAGTTTTTAGATATTTTTGCATATTTTGTACTTCTAGATATATTCAAGTAAAAAATATTCATATTTTTTGAATAATTTGGATATTTTCGTGTAGTTTGGAAAGTTTCGTATACAATTTTTTTTATTTTTGGAAACTTCAGGTATACCCGAATCCGAACCCGAAATAACCGACCCGAACCCGACCCGAATCCGAAACTTTAAAATACCCGAACGGGTCCTAGATTTCTAAACCCGAAATACCCGAACCCGAAATACCCGACCCGAACCCGACCCGAATACCCGAACGCCCAGGCCTAGAAAAATCTACTGAAATAGATAGTCAAATGAAACAGTATTATAACTGCTTAAGCTAATCAAACTGAGTATTTTCTTAAATCTAGGAAGATATATTTAACAAGGATTAAGTCAATAAAAAATAATTCTCGAAATTGTGTATCCGTCGGAAATCCATAAGATATTTCCAACGGCTTTCCGACGAAATATTAATTCGTTACTAATTTTGTATCATTTTCGTTGGGTTAAAAGTTACCGTCGGAAATTGGTCGAAAATATCTGACGATTTTCCGACCAGTCAGGGTTTAGAGTAATGAAAATGTTCAATTTCATTGCAAATTTGTGGAAAAATTAGTAATAAACTTCATATTTGTTATATTTGTTGAATGAGAAACTAATAAATCCAAGAAATTTTTGATTTTTCATCAATTTCTATCTTTGCAAAAGAAACACATAAGTCTTTTAAAACTTCAAGTATTAAGTGTAGTGTATTCTATTGGTCCACTAGTATATTAGTGTTGTGTTAAATATATTTTAACATTTGAAGTACTAAACTATGTACTAAATTTCATCTAATTGAATGGTTAAGCTTGTTTAAGTGCAATGAATCATTGTACTTCAAAATCAAGTCTCAAACCCATAACTGGTAAGAAATCCGTCGGAAAATTCCAACCAATTTTCTGTTGTGTATAGGCGTTGTAACTCCGAAACGTAACGAATGTGAACTTGGAAAATGATTGAATCGCGCACATGAGCACTTTCCTTAAAGAGTATTTCGACCCTTCTCAAGCCTTGGATTACACGAAATCCCTTCTAGGATAAGACAATCAAAGTTCTCTCTTGTTCTAGGCTAAGATACAAGAGAAACAAATAGAGATTTGTGTTTTGTTTATGTGTTTATCACCAAAGATTCTTTCAATCTTTGATCTTGTGAAACTCTCGTGCTCTGTCCTTTTTTCTCTCTCTATTGACACAAGAGAAACAGAGTTTTATAGTGATCAATGGTGTTCACATACGTTTGCAACCGTACGTTTAATATAATAACCGTTTGTACAAAAAGGTGCGATGGTTGGTGAATAACCGTCGATGTACGTACACTTAAATATCCAACATTCGTGAATAACCGACGATGTACGTACACTTAAATATCACGTACACTTAAATATCCAACATTCCTCCCCCATTTAAGTGTAATCTTTGATTCACAAAATTAACAACACGTAAACCAAACTCATGCATAATTGTAAATATCGTAACGATTGAATTTACATCTTAGTGATATTACACATTCCAAATGCTCGAGAATCAGGATGTCCTACGGATTGAATCCTTCAACTCATTTTGAGCACATGAAGATAATACACACACGAATTCACTCACTACTCTAAGTGTTTATCCTTGACACTATTATAAGCCATGTGTCCTTATCCATTCATGAGCGTATACAAAGCCAAGTCCGAGCTTCTTGAAGCGGCTACACTTCACACCCATATAGGTAGATCTTTTAATCTTGCACCTGCAAAATGCGATTTTTCAAAAGATCTATTAAGAAGAAAACTTCAACCTAACCTTTTCTTGCAGATCTAAGCACTTACTTTGGGATGATATAAACTAGTGCTTCAATCTCTAAGTGTGGGCTTTCCGCATTGAATTCAGCCTCTAACGTTGTATTAGAGGGGAATTGGGTATCCCACCATTAAAGATTTTAAATGGACTTTAATCCCATCCCTTTAGCCGACTTGATCACCAAGTCTCTAGCTAATCCTTTTGTCAAGTGATCCGCTAGATTATGTTCAGACCGAATAAATTCTAAAGTAATCACCCCATGAGTGATCAACTCACGTATCCCGCTATGTCTCAAGCCTAGGTGTCGCGACTTACCATTATACACTTGGCTATAGGCCTTAGCCAAAGTAGCTTGACTATCGCAATGGATAGAAATGGGTGACACCGGTAGGGCCGGCCCATGGGTAAAGCCCAACAAGCCAATGCTTTAGGCATCAAAGTTTATAAATAATTTTAAGGGCATCAATTTTTGAAGTGTCCAGTAGTATAGTGGTTAAGTAGCTTTTGTGTAACCTTTGTAACCATGGTTCGAGCCTCTTTTTCCCTTTTTGCAAAAACGAATTTTTCTTTTTTTTTTCCTAAAAAAATTTAATCGATTTGAATTTCTTAACTTCAGTTACCTTTTATATTATTATTATTTTTATATTAGACTGATTAACATTAAATTATTAACTAAACAATTTAATTTGTTTTTAAAACCTAATTTGCTACGACGATTTGTGTTCCTCTTCTCCGATCACCACGAAGAAAAAAATTGATGCTTCTGTCTTTTTCTTTTGGTTTTAACACTTTTCCTTTTTTATTTTTTCATGTTAACATTAAGTTTTAGAGAATTATGTTGTTTTGTTATGCGGAAAAAAAAATATGGGGCATCAATTTTTTAATTTGCTTTAGGCATCAAATAATTTTGGGCCGGCACTGGACACCGGTTTTCGGCCACAATGGAATCTCGGAGACTAGGTGTCTTAACCATTCGGCCTCTCTCCCTGCAGCTGCTAACGCTACAAATTCCGATTCCATAGTAGAATTTGTAATACAAGTTTGTTTCTTTGATGCCCATGAAATGGCACCTCCCCCAAGTAGGAACACCCAACCACTTGTAGAAGAATGATTTTCCTCGTTGGTGTTCCAACTTTCATCCGAATATCCTTCTAAGACCGAAGGAAATCCAAAATATGACAAACCATAATTTATGGTTCCTTTCAAGTACTTGAGCACCCGCCTTACAGCTTGCAAATGATGAGTACTAGGATTACTAGTGTATCTACTCAACTTTCCTACCGCATAAGCTATATCCGGTCTGGTGCTAGTCATGGCATACATTAAGCAACCAATTACTCGTGAGTACTCGAGTTGTGATACCGCTTGTCCCTTATTAGGCATAAGCTTCACGCTTGCATCCATGGGAGTGCTCACGGGAGAACAATTTTCATAATTGAACTTTTTAAGCACCTTCTCAATGTAGTGTGATTGAGTTAAAGATATTCCTTTGTTCTCACGCTTGATTCGAATTCCAAGAATCACCTCCGCCTCCCCCATGTCTTTCATGGCAAAATTTGATGACAAGAACTCTTTTGTAAGTCCTACTTGTCTAAGGTTGGTACCAAAGATCAACATGTCATCAACATATAAACAAATGATCACTCCATTACCGGAATCATCAAATTTGCTATACAAACACTTGTCCAACTGATTTAATTTAAACCCATTTGACAAGACAGCCTCGTCAAACCTTTGATGCCACTGTTTAGGTGCTTACTTTAGACCATATAATGACTTTACCAACTTACACACCTTGTGTTCATATGGGGTAACCTTGTTCCTTTTGTTGGGAACTCTATTTAATAAAT